GCATACATGCATGTGTGTGCACGTCTGTGCATGCACATGCATGTGTGTGCATGCATGTGTATACATGTGTACATGCATATGTGTGCGTGCATGCTGGGCGAGGTTCCACTAGAGGCCGGGTGGATAGGAACTGGCTCAGGGTGTGGGCCTTGGCCCAGTTGCTCCCCAGGTGTGCGACCTTGAATCAGGCCTCCGAGTTCAATAAGTCTCCTCTATAAAATGCACCCGCAGCCCCAGCCCCAGAGTATGTATGGTGCCCAGCACATCCCTTGTGCTCAGGGAGTGGTAATGCTGTCACTGGCATTGCTGTGGTGACAACCCGTCCTGCAAGTGGCTATTGCAGCCGCAGCTCTGCAGGGTGGGCAGCGGCACCGAGCTGCTTTTGGTGCCCTTGGATCGTTATGGAGACCCTCTTGGGGGCCCGGGGCCCAGGGCCCTGAAGAGGAGACCCAGAATGCTGCTGACAGTCATTGATCCAAGCCACAAATATTGACTGTACCTGATTCTGGGCCAGGCACTAGGATGAATCCTGGATATATGGCAATGGGCAAGACAGGCATGGCCCCTGCCCTCTCGACCCCTGTGGTCTGAGGAAGAGGTTGTCAACAAACGATCACATAATTAATTGCTCTGAGCATGTGTCAGGAAGCAACAGGACAAGGATCCATGGTGTTGGATGCTAGTGTACCTGGCCTTGTAGGAGGCGTCAGGGCATGCATCGCTGGGGTGGTGGCTCCAGAGTTGAGCAGCGGGCAGCTACTAACTAGGACAGAAGGAGGAGGGGGGAGGGGGAGGAGGTCGCTGCTCCTGGTAGAAGGCCCCGAGATGGGAGGGGCATGGCTCTTGAGAGGAACTGAGGATGAGCTGGTGGATCTGGAGCCCTGGGAGGATGGGTGTGTGTGTGCACGTGTGCATGCGTGTGTGTGCACACGGGGCTCTAGGCTCCAACTGCATCTGGCTTGAAGGGCAGTGGGAGTCACGGCAGGTCTAACAGGTTCAGAACAATGTGATCAGCTTTGTGTTTTTAAAAGATCACTCGGACTCTGGGAGAACAGATTGCAGAGGGTGGGAGACCAGGAAGGGGAGAGGGGTCCTGGCCAGGGTGAAGGCAAAGGAAAAGGGAAACATTCTCGAGGTGAGAGAGAGAGGCAGGGATGGCGCGGGACCCCCCAACACGGCTGACCGGGGCAGCGTGCTTGCCCCGCATGGCTTTTCCTCGCATGGCTTCATGGCCAGTGTCAAGGGCAGGTGCTCTGCAAGCGTGTGTTTAGTGGATGCCGATGGGATGTGGAGGGAAGCTCAAGAGTCGTCTCAGACATGATGTGCGGGGCCTGGGAGGCATCCTGAGGTCCAGGTTCAAGCCTGGCCCTGCCTGCTGTCCTTTGAATTCCCACACCTGGGAGGACGAGGACGGGAGGATGATGGGCGGCCCTGACTGTCGCTGTCTGTGGCCATGGATGCAGGTGGCTTCCTGAGTGTACAGACTGCGGTCGCTGGAGCTTTGCTCGTGTCTTTTGGTGGCATATGCTCGCAGGTGTTGTGGGGTAGGAGCCCTTATTGTCCCATCGTGCAAATGTGGAGAAGGCTCAGAGTGTCAGAACTGGGGTCTGAGTTCACCCTCCACCATGTGTAGCAGGGAACTGAGGGTCTGCCTTGAAGCTCAAAGTCGTTCTAGAATGAGCAACAGAAAGTCTTGCAGAGGCAGTTAACTGTATGGAATTCATTACTGGAAGAGCGTGTATAATCTGAAAATATAAACGAGGCCAAAAAAGGCTTCAGATCACATTGGGGCTAATAGGTCCGTTAGCGTTAGAGGTGTACCCCTAACTGCTGACACCACTCTCAGATGGTCTCCAGCGGTTTCCATCTATTGCTGGTGACTGCGCACCAGGTGGCATGTGGTAATGCATTGAATCATCACGAAAACCTGGCAGGTGGAGGTGGGTAGGATTATCCACGGGCTACTGATGCGGAGGCAGAGGCTCAGAGTTTGTGACTTGATCACAGAGCTGGTAGCCAGGGCTGAGATGGGACCCAGGGCTCCTCCGTGTCTTCCTGAGCTGTGCCCTTGACCACGTGGCATCCCACCTCTCCGGTGGGACCCATGCTGTCCTCTTGATGACCTGGCCCTGGTTCTGAGTAATACTCCACGAGACACTGCTGCTGGCCTGCTCCTGAATCATCACTGTCTGTGAAGGAGCCAGGGCTGGGGCATTTGGGAGTGGGGGCAAGACGGGACACCCCATGGCCGGGGTCACAGAGCAGCCACTCTGATGTTAGGCCCCATTCCCCAAAACAAGGCTGTGGAAGTGAAAGGGGCCAAGGCAAGAACAAGGTCCCCTTTGCAAGTTTGCTGTCTGTCTTTAAAAAAGAAACTTTTCCAAGCAAGTGTAAGCTCTGGGAGAGGACAGAGGGAGTGTCTTCTGAAACAGGGCTGGGCCCAGGTGGGCAAAGGCACCCGGCTCTGAGAGACTCGGGACAGGCACCCCAGTCCTCTTCTCTGGTCCATGGCGCCCGTCTGTGCAGGGGGACTGGATCAGCAGGCTCATGCCCACCACTGTGGGGACCCAGAATCTTAGGGACCAGTGCATACTTTAGAAACGTGAGGTTGTCTGAGGCTGCCAGGTCCCCTCAGAGTTTGATGTGCTCAGGGGCGGGCAGGAGCTGGCCCACGAGGCCAGAGTTCCTTGAATTTCTGAGCTTTTAATGAAATGAACAGAAACATTAGTAAAGGCACATTTCTAATTATTCTTCCTATCGTGGCCCCAATTTTGCTGTTAACATTACACAGTGCGTTTCAGTAGATGAGTGCATTTTGTTTTTATTATGGTAAAGTGCACATAATATAAAATTTACTATCTTAACCATGTTTAAGTGCACAGTCAGTGGCATTAAGGACATTCATGCTGTTGGGCAGCCGTCCCCACTGTCCTTCTCCAGAACCTTTTCGTCTTCCCAAACTAACACTGTCCCCGTGAGACACGGACTCCCCATCCCCACCTCCCCCAGCCCCTGGCAATCTCCATTCTACTGTCTGTCGCTATGAATCCTCCAGGTCTGTCATATAAGTGGAACCCTACAGTATTTGTCCTTTTGTGACTGGCGTCTTTCATGTAGCAGTGTCTGGAGGCCCATCCCTGTTGTAGCATGTGTCAGAATTCCTTCCATCTGAGGCTGAATAATCTGCCGTTGTAAGGACAGAGCGTTTCGTTTATCTGATCACCCGCCGATGGACGCTTGGGTTGGTCGCTGTGGACGGGAGTGAGTATTTAAACACACTGTGTTCCTGGAGAGCACTGCTGGCGTACGCGGGTGTCAGAGGGGCGGTGGGTGCAGGGTGTCCTGAGCTCAGTATTACAGGGGCCAAGGCGGAAACAGGATGGAGCAAGTCAGGCCCCGGGGTCCTGAGCCAAATCTCCTTGGGAAGAAGTTGCCTAACCCTCCACCGCCTGCCCTCACCGCCTTTATCTGTAGGGTGGGGTCAGATGGAGATGATTGTCCGGGAGTCTGCGATGCTAACGCGCCCCTACAGCCCGGGTGGGTCCTCAGACGCCACCATGCCCACAGACTCACGGGAGTGTGGGATCTGTATGTCCCCAGAACAGCTTCTGAGAGTTATTATTATTTCAATAAAAGTGACAGAGGTGCTGGCCACCACCAGTGAAGGGCCTTTGCTTTGTGTACTGCCTTCAGTCCTTGCAGTGACCCAAGGACATTGTGTGATGAGTACTGGGTCCAGAGAGGGGTAGCACCTTGCCTGGGGTCTCATGCCACTGAGGTGGCAGCTGACACTTGCAGCCGGTGGGGTCCCGAGTCCGAGCTCTGGACAGCTTGGCGGCCACTCTGGCCCCAGCAGGTGTAGGCAGGTCAGGCTGACTCTGCGCAGCCTGGGTGGTCTCTAATCAGACCCACTCTCCCCTCGAAGCTAGACACGCAGGCTGTCCCCAGAGCAGCCGCTGCAGCAAAGCCCTCTGTGGCCAGCCCAGGAGGTACCATGAAGTTGGCCTTGGGGTGGGACTGAGCGCTGAATTTGGGGAGGGGGTCCATGTCAGGTTTTCTCTGGTTGTATTGCTCTAAAAAAGGGGCCAACCAGCAGGAGTGTCCTTGCAGTGGTGGCTGCATGGCTGCTGCCTCTTCTAGGCAAGTCGGAGCGGAGGGACAGCATGGGCAGTGGGGGGGGGGAGGGGCATCTCAGCCCCCTGGAGCCTCTCCTGGTGCTGTCTCTTGCATGGGCGAGAGACAGGGAGTCCAGACCCGTGTGGTGGAGGGGTCGTGGAGGGGACGGGCTCCAGGCATGCTGGGAGAGAGAGGCCGAATCTCCCCCTTTCTCGGATGAGACACTGAAGCCCAGAGAGGGCAGGCACTTGCACTCGGCCACACCTGGTCAATGGTGTGTTGGGACTCATTCCCAGATGTGCTGACCCCACAGCCACTGGGCTCTGAAGCTTCCTCTGGGCCCCTAAAACTAGAGAAGGAAACTCACTGTTTCTTGGGGTGTGGGGGCAGGTGTGGGCTGGAGGGCTGGGCCAACCTGCTATGGGGCGATGACCACGTATCCGTCCGTGTTGGCCCAACTTTGATAGCACTGGGACATGGAGTGGGGGGCATAGCATCCAGCCTGGTTCCTCAGGACTGTGGTCCTGCAAATGACAAATCCTGCTCAGGTGAAGAGTTAACTCAGGTTTCCCCAAATCCCAATCAGGTCTAGTCCCTGTCTGAAATGGTTGTGGGACTGGGAGGGGCATGCTGGCCTGGGGGGAGTCTGATTTGGGATGGTGCTAGAGAGCAGGATGTGGTGATTGAGGGGGACCACATCTGGGGGAGCCCCTGGCTCACCCAACCTCGTGTTGATGTCTGCCACCTCTCCAGAAGGTAAGTCCCTGGACAAAGGGGACTAGGTCTGCTGCATCCACCCAGTCCTCAGGGCCCAGAGCAGCCCCTGGCCCACCATGGGGATGCAGGAGTGACCAAGCAAGTGACTTGGCCTTCCTTGCCCGCAGGTCCAGCTGGGAGCTCCCTGACCTCCAGGAGGGCAAGATCGAGGCCATCAGCGACTCCGATGGGGTGAACTACCCCTGGTACGGCAACACCACGGAGACGTGCACCATTGTGGGCCCCACCAAGAGAGACTCCAAGTTCATCATCAGCATGAACGACAACTTCTACCCCAGTGTCACGTGGGCTGTGCCGGTCAGCGAGAGCAACGTGGCCAAACTCACCAACATCTACCGGGACCAGAGCTTCACCACGTGGCTGGTGGCCACCAACACCTCGACCAACGACATGATCATCCTGCAGACCCTGCACTGGCGCATGCAGCTGAGCATCGAGGTGAACCCCCACCGGCCCCTGGGCCAGCGCGCCCGGCTGCGGGAGCCCATCGCCCAGGACCAGCCCAAGATCCTGAGCAAGAACGAGCCCATCCCGCCCAGTGCCCTGGTCAAGCCCAACGCCAACGATGCTCAGGTCCTCATGTGGCGGCCCAAGTACGGGCAGCCGCTGGTGGTGATCCCACCCAAGCACCGGTAGCAACCAGGGCCACCCACTAGATTAGACTCAAAAATAATATACTGCTCAAAACCAAACCCACACGTCCTCTTCAGTCATTCAGCAAAATGCAACCATTCTACCTGCTCCAGCGGGCGGGTCTCACTGTGCTCAGGCCCTCGGCACCTGCTTTCTGGCGGGGACGGGGGAGACCCACGTGGGTCATACAGACCCATGTGCGCCCTGCAGGGTAACCTCTGGTCTCCTCTCCTCTCCTTTTTCTCACAGTTTTGGCCGTTCACTTGCAACAGATTCCATGAAACACTGCTTTTTTCAGTTCTTTTTTAAAGCTCCTCTCGATGAGGTTCAGGGGCGGGAGGAGGAGGAGCTGAGCGCTGCTGGCGTGTGTCACAGTAGCCAGCCCGTCCTCCTGTCATGCGGCCTTATGTAGACTGCTTTGCCAAACGTTTGCCTTAAGCTGAATGTAGAGGAAAAAAATGCAACCGAGAGAGAAGGCAGGATCGTTCCTACTGCAGGATCGTTCCTACTGGACGCTGCGACTTCTGCAGGTGGAGGGGGGAGGTCAGGATGGAGACTCACCTGAGCCCCCTTCCTGGTTGTCTGGGGAGAAGGTAGAGATGGAGACCTAAAGCCAGCTGCTCACTCTTTCCTTCCAGCAGACACAGAGCCACAGACAGACTCTGCCTGAAGAGCCCCTTCTGTCCCCCAGCGGGGGCTAGACCTGCCAGCCGCCTCTCTTGTCCTGTCCTCTCCTCTCCTCTGCAGCCTTAACTTGCCTCGGGTGGCTCGGGGAGGACCCAGGGAGGGTGCCGTGGGCTACAGCTTGGGCCCAGGGAATTTTTACCCTCTCAGTCCTTAGGACCCAAGCTCGGATGGGTCTGCTTTTCCTTTTCCATCCCCAGGGGTCCCAGATGCCTGGGAGCCAGCCACCTGGACCGCCAACACACAGTCCCAGTTTGAGTCTCAAAGGCAGGACAAGCACCGGCTTCCCTTCCCGCTGTGCCTCTCAGTAGAGGCTTGAGGCTGGCGGGCACCAGCGCCCTTGGCCAGGGTCTCCCCTGCACTTCACAGGAGCTGAGGCAGGGCTGCGGGCTCGTTCTCAGGGACGCCACTCCCAGGAACTCTGGGGGAGGCTGCAGACAGGCTCCAAGTGCCACGATGGTGGAGCTGGAGGAGGCTGTGGAGGCACCCGAGGCCTAGGCTGTCCTGGACCTGGGAGGTCTGGGGAGGCAGGTGGCAGACCCCCTGCTTCTTGTCCTCCAAGAAGTAAGCCCAGGCCCAGGGCTGGAGGGTCGAGTCGGCCCACAGCTGAGAGCATCAGCCTCTGTGGGGGCTGGGCCTGAAGCCTGTCCTTGCGGCCCACCCTCCCTTGGGTCCCAGGCCCTCTGGAGCCCTAGGACTCGGTCCTGAGCAACACCAAGATTTCTTAGCAGTGTCTGCTGTGAGGCTGCTCCTGGGAACTGTTAGGGGACACCCCACTGAAGCCACGTTCCTTCAAGCTTGCCAAACTCTCAGCTACATCACTGGGGCCCTGCATTCAACTAATGATTATCAAGCACAGAAAACCTTCAGATGAGAAAATCCTCCATTTCTGCTGCAGATGAGCCATTTGTAGGAGTCTTGGTGACAACGCAGGAGGCCACCTAAGTCCTCTGTTTTATCCACGTGATGCCGTCTTGATTCAAGGGGTGCTTGACGTCCAGTCCGTTTCTGAGCCACTCGTGCCGGGAGGCTGCAGCTGTCCTGGGGTGCAGGGCTGGAGCCGCCGGCAGGGCTGCGGTGCTTAGGAGCCCCCCACCCCGGAAGCTGCAGGTTCCCCTTGGTGTGTAGGGAGACCGTGCCACCCACAGAGGCTGTAGCCTTGAGTGGGGGCAACGACGGGGTCCCAGCTTCACCTCTAGGGAAGGGCCGGGGAGGGGGCGGCCTGGGACAGGACCTGGCCTCCTGACGGGGGAGGCCCTTCTCCATACTCAGGTCTTTGTTGCACTAAAGAGGAGACAGGGCCCTAGTGACAGGTCAGGGGTAGTTCTGCTTCTGGGCTGGGTGATCACTGAGGGGTTCTCACTGGAATGGGGGCTGGGGAGCAGAACAGTCAGGGGGGCTGTGAGCTGCTCTGGAGCAAAGGGGCCCCCAAACCCGCATTTCTTGAGTGTGAACAAACACTCAAGGCAGGGGCCAGCACCCCCCCCCCGATGCCCAGCCCACCTTGCTGCCTGCTCACCTTTGCCCTGTGCCCGTTTCTCTCCACCCCTCCCACCTTGCTGAAGATGGGGCTGGGAAGGCCCCGGAGAGGCTGTAGATCCAGCCAAGGATGCTCTGCTTGGCTGGGTCTGTTCCCTCCGCTCCTTCCCCATGTCCAGCACAGACCCCAGCTTCTTGCCCGGGGCCCCGATTCCTCTGATGTCCCCCTGCCCCCCACCCTGGCGTGGACATTCACTCCTTCCAGCAATAAGAACCGTCCTCGGTCGTGGAGGCTACTGTGAAAAACGAACCAATGCACTTACCAGGAGACGCAAGACTCTAGAAGAAAATGTAAAATGAGCCTTTTTTTTTTTTAAAAAAAACAACTATTCATAAAGAAAAATAAAATGTTGATTTTAAACTAGCCTTGGCTAGGATCTGCATGTTTCTGAAGCAGCGGTTCATTTGGGGGTTGATGGTTCAGAGTCGCTGGCCACGGGGGTGAATGTGTTTGGGGGGCAGGAGGATGGTCTGAGGCTGGGATTCTGGCGCTAGGGGCTTGGGAAGACGGGAGACAGCGAGCCAGCCCATGAATGTGCCTGTTCCTTCCACCGCTTCGGTCCACAGCCCTCGCCAGTAAGAGCCAGCTCTGGGGTTGGCCCTGCACCCAGAAGGGCCCTGGCTGGGACCCCTCCTGGAGGAGGGCGGCAGGTTGGAGGTCAAGCTAGGACTTGGGGCAGCCTGGCTTTTTGGCAAACAGTAGAAACCCCCATGTCAAGAGTGATTACTACTGTTCAGATTGGGCCCTAGCCTGTGTCACACTGTGGACCTGCAAACCTGTCTTCCTATGGAAAACAGCTGGGACAATGTCAGCCCGGAACATGGCTCTGCTTCCTGGCCAGCAATGATACAGGGGTCGCTGGGGCCAAAGCTGAGAGTCAAAACCTTCCCCTAATAGGAACTTCTGTGGTGATGGGCGGGGGATCTCGGAGGTTCTGGAGTGGGTGTGGGCTCTGAAGGTGGACCACGGGTTCAAGGCCACTGGTGTGAACTTGGGCAAGACAGTAGCCCCCTATGAGCCCCACTCACCTTGCATGGCAAAGGGGATTTTTGGAATAGCTGCCTCCTGGCCGATGTGGAGTGAACACTGTTCTGCTCTGTTTCTGGCTATAAACTCCTGAAAACCCCACGAGGGGGGCTGGTGTTATTGTGACCCCGTTTTACAGATGAGGAAACAGGGAGAGTGTGGAAGTTGACACGCTGCTCAGGCCACACATCTAGGAGGAGGCAGAGCCAGGATTCGAACCCGGCTCCAGATGTGACTGTGGCACACATTTGGGGCCTGGTAATTATTGGTTACTGTTATGAAAAAGGCCCCATGCCAGGGCTCCCGCTCTCCTGGGGGGCCCTGGGCAGGAAATATTCCCCCACCCCCATTAGTCTTTGTGCAGCTGGTTCTGTGTGGCCCACAGTGAGCAGACCACAGGCTCATCCTCCAGGTGGGCGGTGGCATCTCCACATCGCCACGGGGGACAAGGTGCCCCCATTCACTCTCGGCCCTGGGATTTGGCTTCTCCGCGGGTTGTCCACGTGGCAGCAGCCCCACTGTGCTCTGTGTCCTTCCTGCTGGGCTGGAGACACCAGAGCAGGAAATTGCATAACAGGCATCCCTGGCCGCCCTCCGCTCACATGGCTCCTGGGTGGTGCTGCTCACTGTCGTGGTTTGGCTTTTGGTTGTGGAGTCGGATCCTGCGCTCTGCCCACGAGAGATCACGGGTGTGTGTGTGTGGGGGGGGTGTGCGCACGCGCGTGCAGAGCACAGGGTGCAGGCCTAACCAGCAGCAGGAGAAAGTTGAGCTGGATCCTCTCAGCACAAAGCCAAAGGAGCTCATGCTGCTGTGCAGCTGCGAGGGGACTGCGAGACAGCGGCTGAGTTTGTGGGTAACGGGTTTTGGAGGGGAGCGTGCGGGGAACGGGGTTATGAGCAGAGTGGATTCCAAGTGGCATTTACTCACACGGCGGAAGCCCTCCAGCCTCTCAAGCTGATAGCAGGTTAAATTTAGAAGTCCAGACTGGGACGAGAGATACAGACACCAGCCTCGCCCAGCTGTCACAGTTTTGCTCCAGGATCCGGGGCCTGGCTGTTGGGACAGTCTGCGTGGGGTACACGATGTCTGGGAGGAGCAGCAGCCCTGTGACCCCATGCACGGCTGCCTTCCACCTCTAAAGTCACTTCTCAGTAGAACCCAACCTCTGCTCTGGAGCTATTTCAAATGGGACGTAGGCTCACGGGAGGCTAGGCCGGGAGGCCACAGGGAAGCCCCACTCAGCTCCGGAAAGGACACAGTTTCACTGCGAACTGCACGAGGTGGTCGCTTGAGGGGTCCTCCAAGGCTCTCAGCTGTTTCTAACGGTCCAGCTGCTCTTTCTGTCACCTCTGGCTTTATTTATCACTTGGCCACCTCGATCCAGCTTGGGCACTCCCACAGAAACTGTTTCCCACCTGGCTGGGGTCCAAGTATTCAATTAAAGCGAATATTTTTAGTGCACACCCACTATCCAAAAATTTTCCCTCAAAATCATTAGAATGCAACCAACCAGTGCAGAGACGTGTGTCCAGACTGTGAGTGCTTCGCGCTGCCAGGGCCCTTTCCTGCCACCATCGATCACATCCAGTGCTGTCCTTCCCTTTTTATAGATGAAGAAACTGACCCTCAGAACGGACATGGGGCTTGCTAGATGCTCGGCTAGGAAGTTGCAGAGCTGGGCTGTTTCAGATTCCTGGCCTTTGACACCACTCTTCGTCCGCTCTCTCTGCTACTTCTGGCACCCAGTCCACCGGCCTGCCCTCGATGGCTCGCTAGGTGAGGCGTGATGCTGAGCCTGCTGCAGCCCT